ACTGTGCAGAGTCATTTCCAAGATCCAGCCATTGGCAGGAAATTGAAAGGCAAGCTTCTTAAATACATAGTCTATGGCAACAGAAGTGGGGATCACCCCAAGAAGAAAAGGTCAAGACCCCAGAACAGCCCACATGGCCCAGAGGATGTGCAAATGGACTGGGCACTGCTAACCCAGATCCAAGTCAGCCTAAGGTAGGAGTTTCTCATGAGTGAAAGAGTCAAGTATCTGGAGGACAGAATCCAAAGTCTACCACAGCCCACATGTTTTCTCTTTCAAGGTTATTCTTCTAACAGCCCCTGGGAGAAAGGAAGTGAAGGAGTACTGCATGCTCCAGGAATCAGAACACAGGGTGCAGGAAGAGGGCAGAAAATCATTCCTGAAGAGATTGGAAAACAAACTGGAAGCAATCCCATCACCGAGAACACCTTTTATCCTAAGGCACCCTTCCCCTTTCCACCCCTTTATCATTCAGCAACTACTTCTTAATACTTACCAAGAAAAATCTTACCCCTGACCTCAAGACTGCTCCGGAACTCAGGGAGAAAATGCTTTTCCTCTTCTATAAAAACATGACAACCAAGGCAGGATTTAACAGTAAGAAAGTGGACCTGGGTCACGACTCGCCCTGCAGCCCTTCAAATGGAGACACGGAGACAAGCAGCGAGCACGAGCAGCAGAGGCAGAGCAGGCTGGGCTGGGCCCGCATCTGGAGCTTCCCACGCAAGCCTTCATATCCACATCAAGGAGGAATATCTAAGAGGAACATGATTCTGGGAAACTTTTTGCCAGTAATGCTCTTACTGTAAAAAGAGAGAGTAAAAGACAATAATTTGGGGAATGTTAGCAAATTTGTTTCTTCAGTGGCTTGGGGAGGGAACAGGAATAGGAACCTGGCTCTAATTTTTTTATCTTTTTCAATAAAATCAAACCAATGAAAACTAGTCGACTTGAAAACTAGGAGAGAGCTCTCTTTTACTCTCCCTCTGCACCCCATTCTCAGCAGGCAAGCCCTATGGGGAGCCTCCTTACATTTAGTTAAGCAAAGAAATGCTGACTTAAGCAAGCAAGTGGCCTGATGATGTGATAAGAGCACCAAATGGGAGGCAGAGGTTCTACTTTCTAGCTTCATATAAATTCATATAAATGTAATGACCAGAGTAATCTTGGGCAAAGTGCTTCACAGCTTGAGACCTAAGTTTCCTCATCTATAAAAAGAGGGTTGGAGAAGATGATTTTTTAGAAGGTCATTTTTATCCTTACACCTCTACAATACAATTACGTTAACTTGTCACAAAAGCAGATGTTGGATGACTGCCCTTGAGCAAAATAAAACACCTTCAGTCTTTTTTCCTTCCAGTAGTCAGTCCAGTGGTTGGTTAACATGTCAGACTTTTTTCTGAGGTAATATAAGGAAGTTGAGGTCTTCGTTATCAATTAGATGGTCATGAGAAGTAGCAATTTTACATTAAAATGAATAATGGTAGGGCTCTCTTTAAATGTTATTTCTTTGTATTTCCTAAATACTTAAGTCCCATGATGACAGCAACATAAGTGGAATTAATGTTATAAAGCACATGGCTAAATAATTGCAGACTAATGTCACCTGAAATCATATCTGCAGACAGAGGCTACTCCTGTCCACTGCAGTGGTCTGCACTGTCCCAAATGACTGCATCCACTTCATGTGGATTCAGTGTGAATTTTACTGATTTCCTTTATGGGTTACTTGCATAGAAGTATTGAAAGCACACAGGTGGTTGTGATGAGAAACAAAAAGCCACCCTTATATAAATAATGGGATTACAAGCATGATTTTAGAGTGGGGAGTGGGGTGGGGACCTGCAGTAGAGAGAAAGAAGCTCATAAAACTAAAGTTACTTAGGAAAACATGATTGTTTACTCACCATCTTCTTAGGAATATATGGAAAACTGGTTTCCCTCTTATTGCTTTCCAAAACCAGCTACATTTATAAAAGCAGTATAAGGTTGTGCTATCCCTGAACAGTGGAACATGTGAGGAGCACCTGAATGCCAGAAAAGCTCCATCCAGGACCCCCTCTTCACATGCAGGAACAGCTCTTACACTACTTTTACTGGTAGCTTCTGTGGAGATCTGGAAGTCCAGTTGACAAATCAGGCCCTTTGGTTTTACAAGCATAATTTCATTCATACAAGCATAATTTCATTCACTCAACAAATACGTTCTGAACATCGGGGTGAAAAAAACAGACACATTCCTACTCTCATGGAGTAGAATTTAAGGAAAGAGTTAGGCAATAATGAAGTAAGCAAAATAATACACTGTGAAAGGCACTTTGGAATTATGAATATTTTAGGGACTATAGTTTAAATTTGAAAAATATTTCAGTCCTTTTAACAATACATATTGAAGGCATTTTCTTTGGGTCTGGGTACAGGATGCAAGCACATGGGGGCAATTCTGAAATGCATTTTTAGGTAATAGGCTAACTTCCATTTGACAGGCCAAAGTATACACTGTAGTTGTGGTGAGCTGGGATTCTCCTGCTCAATCTCAGCTTGAAGCACTGGAGGTTATCTTCCTGCCCTTGGTGATTATCTCCAGAGCAAGGCTGCCTTCTTAGTTGCCTCAAGAAACCGATTTGATCTCACTACTGTGAACTTTTTGACCCACTGGTAAGTGGGCCAAACCCAGCAGTGTTAGGCAGTGATCAGTCCTGAAAGCTGGACATTTGCTGTAATTGATGATTTTCAAGTTAATATATATCACATTTCAAAAGTTTTGAAATATTTTCACATAGCTGATATATTTCCTGGGATGACCTTCTTAAAAACTGCGGTAAGAATTGAGGTGGGGGAGGGTATCAGCCAGAAGTGCGCAAGGGACAGAAGGGAAGAGGATGGGAAAGGGTTTCTGAGGCAACCTGGCTGCTCTGTAGTTCTACAAAGCTTGTTTACATTCTGCTCTAGGCACTGGGGGCACAGCCATGATTAAGACAAGGTCCCTGGGCTTCCCTTGTGGTGCAGTGGTTGAGAGTCCGCCTGCCGATGCAGGGGACTCGGGTTCGTGCCCCGGTCTGGGAAGATCCCACATGCCGCGGAGCAGCTGGGCCCGTGAGCCATGGCCGATGAGCCTGTGCTTCTGGAGGCTGTGCTCCGCAACGGGAGAGGCCACAACAGTGAGAGGCCCACGTACCAAAAAAAACAAAACAAAACAAGGTCCCTGCCCTCATCAGGCTTGGTTTCTAGTGGAACACAGATAAAAATGAGCAAATAAGTGAACTGCTTTTCATTTTCCTTTCCTTGTGTAACCCTCAAATGCTAGCATTTTCCAGGGATTCTGTCCATGTTCTTTCTTCCTTCCTTTATTCCCTTTCCCTGGTGATTACCTAAGGGCTCATCTATACTGAAGAACCATACACTTTAATCTTGTGTAGGCTTTTCTTTAAACCCTTATTTTTTTTTAACTGCCTCTGAACAGCTCCACTTGTGTATCTCTCAGACACTTCAACTGAAACATAATCCAAGAGTATTAATGTTCCCTCCAAAACCTGCTTCTCTTACCTGTAGACCCCACACCACCACTACCAACCCATTAACCCAAACCAGAAATGTGGGAGTTATCTTTGACTACTCTCTCCCAGGAATATCTAATCAGTCACCCAGTCCCAGTTCCTAATATATCTTAGACTGTCCCCTCCCTTCTATCCTCAGGCTCTCATATACCATTCTAGAATTATGGCAGTGGTCTCCTAACTACAAAGACCGCGTGGCACTTATGCTCCTCCAGTCCATGTTATAATACATATAAAATGCAAAATGAATTATCTTTGTATTACAGTATCTGCAAAATAAAAGTCCAAAGTCCTTGGTAAAGTCTACAAGGTCTTTCATGATCTGACCTGTCTTCCTTCCCAATCCTGTCTTGATCCCTTTGAGCCCTACCTACACTCAGGCATACTGAACACCCTCCACTTGTCTGCCTAGTATACACCCACCCATCCGTTAAGATTCAGCTAATCCTTCACCTCCTAATTGAAAATTTTTTGGATCTGAATTCTCTGTCCGAACTGTATTTCTACATACTTCTATTACGCTTTGTGGTTTATATGTATGTCTGGCCCACTAGATTCTGTCTCCCCATAAAAGATTCCTTGATTGAACAAAGCAGCTCTGAAACCTCAGCAAACCTGTAACATGATTAGCATTCAACTGGTATTTGCCAGGTAAATGTTAGTGAACAGAAAAAACTTCACACTTCATTTGGAATAGGACTAGAGGTAGGTTTGAAATCTCCCTTAGAGATCTTTCCTTAGCACCATCCTAAGTGTGCCTAAGTCCTTTCTATAGGTCTGATTTACTACATAATGAGGAACCTGTGTGTCAGGAAGGAAGTAAGGGGGATGGTGCAGCAGAACACATGTTTTTCTTTTTGCAAGTCTGCTCTCTGGCTCTGGATTTGTTTTTCTAGGAATGAATTCTCAGGTCATGTAGTTTTTCTGGTCACTTTCAGGTAATAAACAAAGCATCTATTTTTCTGGGTATGAAATCCACACTAGTGAAACGTCAAAAGGCCACTCTCTCCCCTAATTGAAGACATAACTCTTGCTCAGGCCTTCTTCTGGGTGGGAAGCCTGAAGATAGGCTCTTCCTCACTTTACCTTCTTTCTCACTCAAAAGCTATGTCTGGCCCTTCTGGAAGGGAGGGAATTAGAGAAAAGAATCCTGCCTTATCCAGTTGGTGCAACTGTAATAGGATACTGAGCCTTCAGGCAGAGGTGGGGGTTAATGTCTATCTTTCATGAAGCAGACTCTCCAGGGAACCCCAACTGAAACATCTGGCTTGGTTGGTAGCTTCCTTCTCCTCACACAGCTTCTACATCTGATGGTACTCAGATGTTGGATGCCTTGCTCCAGAGCAGGAAGCCCACTTGTGCAGGGTAATTTTCAAGACAGCTCGTGACCAGTCTCTTACAACGACCCCACGTGGCCTATAGGAAACATACACTTCAGCCTCATCATTGGTAAATGTGCCCTTTATTCGGCAATATTCTGAACAAAATACAAACAAACCAAACCCAGCAGCATATTAGAAGGTTTGTGTACCATGGACCTGTAGGATAACCCCATGAATGCAGGGTTGGTACAACATACCAAAATCCATCAATGTGATAAAGGGCAAAACCCACATGACCATCTTAACAGAAGCAGAAGAAACATCTGACAAAATCTAATATCCTTTCTTGAGAAAAAACACTCAACAAACTAGAAAGGGAAGGAAAATTTCCTCAACCTGAAGCAGCTATGAAAAACCTACCGTTAGCATCACACTCAATGGTGAAAGATTAAATGCTTTCCTCATAAAATCAGGACTAAGATAAAGATATCTGTTCTTGCCACTTCCATTCAATATTGTACTAGAGGTGCTAGCCAGGGCACTTAGAAAAGAAAGAAATAAAAAGAACCCAGAGTGAAAGGGAAGAAGTCAAACTATTTCTATTTGGCAGGTGCATGATCTTGTATATATAAAATCCAAAAGAACAAAAAGAATAAAATACTTAGGAAAATATTTAACCAAAGAAACCAAGACTTGTACACTGAAATCTATGAAACATCAATGAAAAAATTAAAGACCTTAATAAATGCAAAGACATCCATGTTCATGAACTGAATACCTTTATATTGTCAAATTAGCGATATCCCCCATATCTATTTACAGATTCAACACAATCCTTATCAAAATCCTAGCTGCCTGTTTTGTAGAAACTGATAAGCTGACCCCAGGATTCACATGGAACTGCAAGGCACCCATAATAGCCAAAATGACCTTGAAAAAGAACAAAGTTAGAAGATTCACACATCCCAAATTCAAAACTTACTACAAAGCTACAGTAATCAAGACAATGTAGTACTGGCATAAGGACTGACATATAGGTCAATGGAATGAAATTGAGAGTCCAGAAATAAAGTCTTATATTTACGGTCAATTATTTCTCCATAAGGGTGCCAACACTATTCACAGGGAAGTAAGTCTTTCAACAACTGGTGCCTGGACAATTGGATATCCACATGCCAAAAAATGAAGCTAGACTCCTACAAGGCACCATATGCAAAAATGTATTAAAGATCTAAATATAGGAGCTAAAACTACAAGACACATATGATTCTTTAAGATATGACACCAAAAGCACAAGCAACAAAAGAAAAAATAGATAATTTGGACATCACCAAAATTAAAGTCTTTTGTACTTCAAAGAACACCATCAATAAAGTGAAAATACTATCCAAAGGATGGGATAAAATATTTGCAAATAACTTATCTGGTAAGGGACTTGCATCAAAATTAAACAACTCAATAATAAAAAGACAACTCAATCAAAAATTGGGGAAATGTTCTGAATAAACATGTCTCTAAAGATGATAAAACAGCCAAAAGCACATGAAAAGATGCTCAACATCATTAGTCATTAGGAAAATGCAAATCAAAACTGAGATATCGCTTCACTCCCACTAGGACGGCTGGAATCAAAGTCAGATAATATGTGTTGGCCAGGATGTGGAGGAATAAGAACTCAAGTTGCTGGTGGGAATGTAAAATAGTGCAGCCACGTTGGAAAACAGTTGGCAGTTCCTTGAAAGGATTGGGCATATGACCCAGGAATTCACTCCTGTGTACATAGTCAAAAGAAATGAAAGCTTATGTCCACATAAAAACTTGTACACAATGTTCATGGTTGTAGTACTTATTAGCCAAACAGTGAAAACTACACAAATATCTACCAAATGAACAAAAATATGGTATAGCAATATAATATTATTCAGCTATAAAAAGAAATGAAGTGCTGAAACATACTGCAACATAGATGCACCTTGAAAACATTGTTCTAAGTGAAAAAAGCTAGACACAAAAGGCCACATGTTGTATGATTCTATTGATATGGAATATCCAAAATTGGCAAATCTATAGACAAAAAGTAGGTAAGTAGATTAGTGGTTAGCACTTGGAGAGCGGGGAGAGACACTTTCAATGGGTACAAGATTTTTTTCTTTTTTTGCAGTGATGAAGATGCTCTGGAATTATATGTGATGCTTGCACAATCTTGTGAATATTCTAAGAGCCACTAATTATATACCTTAAAGGGGTGAATTTTATTATGTGAATTATCTTAATTAAAAAAACAAAGATGAGGGAAAACACCCCTCCTCCTTTTTGAGGTAGATGAGGGTCAACTCCTGCAAAAGAAATCGCTACAAGCATCTCCAGCCTCTCAATGGATTCCCTTTTCTGTCTTGCAACAGGTTGCCTAGCATCTGTATCTCAACTTCACTGAGTCTTGGATATGATAATCCAAGCTGAAGGAAGGGCAGAGCCAGGACTGAGACCCAGTCATCCAACTCTGAAGGTTGTGCCCTCAATCTGTGCACTATTTACTAGACACATGCCCATCACATTTTCTATGGTTTCCTGGAGACTGGAAGATAGGATAATTATTCCCGATCCTGTTCAGCTGAACATAAGAATCCTGATTTAAGGGTCAATTTGTAGCAATGGTTATAAGGTTCTGGCAAAACAGGTATTCATCATGGTGAGTGCTTCATTTAGTATAAAAAACACAGTATTTAGCAAAGAATAGCTCCTTGATGTGAGGGTTTGGCAACAGCAGGATGGTGTAAGACACCCGCTCCCATCTCCACTGGGAGAGGAGTGTAGCCACAGAGGCTGGCTGCACAGAGGCTCCTGGTTGCCAGAGCACATCCATAAAGCAGGAAAATCTTGCCTTCAAGGACTTTGTTCTTTTCATCCTTCCCCTCTTAGTAACCTACAGTTTCACAGGCTGAAATGACAGAGCCGGTTATTCTGGGGAGCCACTTCCTCCAAGAGCAAGTTCTTTAGCCACTAAATATTCAAATATTTAAAATAAAAACCTTTTTGGGGGAGGAGGGAGGAGACTGAGGCCATCTTTAGTGGAAAAAAGAGAAGCTTCATTGAACATTCTATGGCACACTGAGTCATTTTCAATCATTCATCAGGTAGTGATTGACAAGCTAGTGGAAAAATAGAGCTAATCCTTTAACAAAGTTATTATGCAACTACTACATGGCAGAGGCACAAAGATAAACAATCTTCCCCATGAATCTGCCCACATCAGGTAATGATTATGGGAAAAAAAGAAAAATCCCAGTGATTCCTCACTGTTCGATGTGCCCAACCATGCATGTACTACCATGGAAGTTTGGGGTGCTGTTAGGTTACAGAGGCACTCTGGGGGTTGATGAAGTCTTTATGCGTGAGGCGCTTTTAAAATTTTGGCCTTCAAGGTTACTTGAGAAATATGAAATAATTAAGCACAGCGTGCTAAGATGTGGGTGGGGATGCAGGGAGACATGCCTGTAACTGATGGTAAATAAGATGTGGGTGGGGACGCAGGGAGACATGCCTGTAACTGATGGTAAAATTGGAAAAGGAGGTGGGGCTGAGCCTATGGAGGGTTTTGGATGCAGGCTTGCAGATTTATTCAAAGGGGAACAAGTTTTGAAGGAAAGGATATTTAAATTAGCAAAATTGTGTTTTGGCAGAACAAAAAAGAATGCAAGAGGACGTTAGTCAGGCAGATGAGTTAGGAAGCTACTAACAGCATCCAGGGGAGTCAGAGGATCAGGGGCTGAAAGGAAGTATGTTGAAGGATGGAGGGGGAAAGAAATGATACAAGCAGTGATAACTGAGGGATGAGGGATTCTGAGTTGAAAATGATGCTTTTAAGGAAGAAACAATAAATGGTAGGTACAGACATAAGAGTTTCATTTTTAAGTGCATTGATTTTGAGGTACCAGAAAGATATTCTGGGGATAGAGACTGAGCAGAAGACATGGATTTGAGGAAGAATCTTTTTGAGTGGTGGAGGAATAACAGACAGAATTGGGCAGGTACAGACCAGAACTTTACAATTATAGTAGTATCCATCCAACTGAAAAAAGGACAGTAGCAGATGAACCAAGTTCAGGGTGCTGCCAAGGTTACTGGAGTTCTCACTGGCAAGTAGGAGGCTATGAGTATCTTTCAGGAAAGCATTTTTAGTGGCACAGCAATAGTTTAGCAGCATTTCTCACAGGGACACATCTGCACCAAAATCTTCCTACAGTGGTTAACAAAAGTCAACTACTGGATTTGAATAGGGGAAAAGAAAAAGTCTCGAGACTCTGCACTAGTAACACTCTCTAGCCTCCCCAGGAAATTATACACTAACACTGTGGGTAAAAGACAACAAGAGAGAGAGCCAGAGGAAGCTGTGCTTTGAATTCTCTGGCGGCTCAGGGAAGGGGTAGGGAGGGTAAAGATGGTCCTTAGAAGCCAGTGGAAGGTCAAAAAAGAAATTTAAGGTAAACAGGTAAGGGGAGCATGACTACAGAGAGCAGCCTTGGGAAGACACTCCTTCCAATGACAGTTTGAATGAAATTCTTGAGAAAACCCCTTAAAGGGGCCTGAAATCCCAGCACAGTCATGGTATTATGGGAACAGGGAGTCATGTTGCCAGGTTACAATCATGTCTTTTCTAATAAGATGGACCTGTGCCAATGGGGAAATGAATACCATCAGCAAGTTCTGTTTGAAGCCTCATTTCGTGTATCTCCCTGCTTAGGTATGTATCCCAAAATAAAGCTAGGGAAGTTGTCACTGGATTTTATCACAAAACTAAGCACAGCCCAGGAAAGTATATAGGGGAGGAAATCCAACTCAATTTGCTGAAGCAGCCGGGCTCCAGAAAAGTTTGGCTACAGGCCGTGTTTTTTTTTTAATCACACAACTAAGCACAGCCCAGGAAAGTATATAGGGGAGGAAATCCAACTCAATTTGCTGAAGCGGCCAGGCTCCAGAAAAGTTTGGCTACAGGCCGTGTTTTTATTGTATGTTTGAAATACTGAGTAACAATGATATATAAGAGAAAATTTGTATTTTATTTGGAAAACCAATTACTTTAGTTTATGGTTCTTTATTTCCTCCAGAGCTTCCTGCTTATCCAGGCAAAAGAGTACTTTATAACATGACATCTGGGGTAGATATCTACTACAGTTAAAATTTCTATTTTTTTTCCTCTTCCTAAAGATATTGTTCCGTGACATTTTGTAAACAGTAGTGAAAAGGAGGCAATGATAAAAAGAAGTGGTAACATGCCCAGGATAATTAGTTACTAAGCAAGTGAGAGCAATTAGTCTAGACAACCAATGAATTTTTCTCTTAAAATATTTTCAAGGGTAGGTTTATTTTCAACTGTTTGTTAAAAGTCTATTTGATGTGAATTCCATGTCTGATAACCTATACTCAATTACTATTCAAAAACTTCACACAGATATTATTACAACTGTAGAACTTCAATACTGTAGTGATAATAAAACTTGAGAACCAAAGAACACAAATTTCTTCATGAATTTATTATACAAAACGCCCCCAGAGTATTTGATTTCTCTTATTCTCACTTTCATTATACACAAGAAGCACAAGAATGAGAGAGAGGCCTTTTAAGATGACTGTAGTAGCATGAGGGTCCCTTGCATCAAGGCAGTGTACATACGTTAACAGTGTTCTAAAGGCTGGCCCAGAAAAACCCCATGTTACTTTATCACAATATGGAAAGCAATGTCTTCTTTTTCCACTAAATTATGGTGAAAAATGTCACTTTTATTTAGCATTATGGTACATAACAGTTAAGTCTCAATTACTAAAAGAATTAAAATAATTCTTAAAGACATCCTCTTTCCCCCTCCAATGATTTGAAAGCTGTATTTTTCCTGCCAATTTCAAACAAATCATCAAATTGATCTGTCATAGTCAGTTAAAACAATCATCGAGGCACAAGCTCAGCACATTAGCTGTAACTTGTAGTAAAAGGATATATCAATATGTCTCTTTTCAGTTAAAAATACATAATCCTTTTATTTTATATTGCAATAAAAGAAATTAACAACACAGACACAGAAGACTAGAAAGGGGAAGAAACTACTTACTTCTGAATGTCCAGTAATTTAAACCAACCTGTACTTTTCCATAGTACATGAAAGTATTATTTAACACTTACTTTTTGAAATAAACTTTAATCTTTGGGGATAGACAATGTAAATAGGACTAAAGAGTAATAGTTCCATTCACTTCCAGGTCTCTGCTTACTGTATGATTAGGTAAAACAAGGCACAGTAGCCATCCTTTCCATTATGTTCCAACACTGATCATGTGCCTTGATAAAATGGCTGATTAGATAAGATGATGGCAACATGAAGGGAAGACTTTGGATTGTCTATTTAAAATGCGGGTAATAAGCAATTAATAAAAAATTTATTTTAAGTGCACTTTCACATGCTTTATGTTTATAATAAACAACAAACTTCCTACCTTTCTTGCAAAGGGTTTGACTACCATTTCTTTTGGCCAAATGCACTTTTCCCCAGTAAACTTAAAACAACAACAACAACAACAACAACAGTGACGACAACAACAAATCCCTGTCCTTCCATATACTAAGAAAGAGGATTGGCTACTGAAACAGTTCATTGCAAGACACATGAAGACGACATACTGTGGCATGAGTTGTTTTTAATTCGTTGTGCTGTTACTAAAGTAAAGTTCTGAGGGCTGCAGTTAAACATTCCAAGTTCTCCCTTCCATCTTTATTGATTTTAAGATTTTGCACAGAAAACTCTTTGGGGACTAGAACAGCAGCAACTGCATCACACTGTTTTCAAGACTTCAAGTTTCAAAAGCAAATTGTTTAAAAAAAAAATACAGCTCCTGATTTGAGTTAGATACAGGGACAAAAAAAAATAGCACATACTTGAAGGTTACATGGTCTACAAATGGTGGCAATATTTTCCTTGGGAGAGTAGTTTGTTGGTATATATTTTTTAAATATGCAAAAAGGCTCAACCTCAAGCAGTAATAAACACAAGCAAAAGTGATTTAACCCTTAAAATAAATATTCAGAAAAACCTCTCTGTACATACAAGTGAAAGAAAAAGTAACACTTTCACGCAAAAAAATAAAATAAAATAATAATAATAATAAAGGATTTGTTCATATAAGTAGCTGAAATCTGCTGTTCCAGCCCACATATCCCCAATAAAGAAGGGAGGCACAGACATAGGTGACTACTGTGGTTCACTATTTTACAGCCTTTTTGTACTGGGTCACTATCACCACCAATTTTATCCCTCTTGTTATATTTATTAAAATTTTAAATTTTTTTCTCCCCCCCCCCTTTTTTTTGTTTTTTACAGCATGCCAAATCCTTTGGCATAAGTGATGGCCTTCAACAATCTCTCTTTAAGTTTTTCTTTGCTTGAATATTCCGGAAGTAAAAGGACATTAAAGCAAGTATGAGATGTAGGTAACCTATATAGAGAGAAAGGGGAAAAATAGGAAAATAAGTCATGGGAAATACGCTCAGTATTAAATGATCCTACTTTAGATGGTATATATGTTGAGATGGTTTGCAATGCAGACTATACATTAATACAAGTCATGGATAATCTTTCTGCTCTTGCCATACAACTACCAAACTGCAGTTTGTCTCTATCTCATAAATTACTCAATGCTAATAATGATGATGGTTGATGATAACATATTGCATCCACAAAATTATTACTACATACCAGATACTGTTTTAGGTACTTAACCCTGAGAGCTCATTTAACTAAATTTTCTTACAATAAACCTACAGACTGGGTGTCAGTTTCCCCACTGTAGAGTTGAAGTCACTGAGAAGTTAAGTAACTTACTCAAAGGTGGAGGTAATATATTCAAACCTCGCTTCCAAAATTTCAAAGTCTGGGCTCTTTAATGCTTATTAGCAATATTCTTGTATGACTATGTAATTGATTTGATAACCAATAAACTTACATTAATACCAAATAATACAGATAATACCAAATAATATCAAATAATGTAGAAAACTAATAGAAATGTTTCTATACATTCAAGCTATTAAATATACTACTGCTCACATACGGTCACTATGCACCAAATGTTAACTTACACGACGGAGAGGAAACACAATGTAAGGACTATGAAATTCGTCATTCTAGCATAATATAGGGCTGAATAGACAATCTCCTGAGCCTCAACTTTACTATTCTAAATAGATGACATAATATGGCTTCCAATTAAAAAATTCTCAACCAAAAACTAATCACACCAATTTTAAAAATTTCAAATCAAGTGAACTCCATAATAATTTTTAACCTGGCCAGTGTTTAAAAATTTTCTCAAACATTAACAGCAAAATATTCTCTGAACTAATGTTTCATGTGATTTGGAGATTTCTATATAAAATTGCAAAAGTGCTCAGAAGCTTATGGATACGTCACACATGTGTAATGTGGAATGCAAGGTTTTCAGTATACAGTCACAATTTAATAATTACCTTTCTGTGTCTGGGCCATTTTTGGCTATAATCATCTTTAATTTTCCTAGTCCGCCCACAGGTGCCCTGTCTGTGCCCGTTGTAAACTGCAAGAAGAGTCTTTTCTGCTCATCTGTAAATGAATGAACGATTTCCCAGAACTCCCTAATAAGAAAATATAAAATACTGATTTTAGTTTGGCATTCATTATAACGAGCACCAATGTAAGTTTATGATTTGCATTAAAACCATAATAGGAGATAACCTGGAAGTTAGTATCAAGTACCCTGAAGATTCTTTTCTGTTCATCTAGGACCTAGGAATTCCACTACGCAAATTTATCTTAAGGAAACAGTTTTTAAAAATATAAAAGCTTTTGTTCATCACTACATTATCTACAACAGCAATAACTGGTAAACCTAAGTGTCCAACAAAAGGAAATAATTATGTAAACTGTAAATATATAATCAGTAACAAACAAAAGACAAAATGTGTGTACTGTGAAAACTTAACTCCGGATGTGTGTGTGTGTGTGTATTTTATTTACCCCTCCTTCTTTATTTTCTTTGTCTATGTGTGTGCATGTGTGTATACATTGTATTTACCCCTCCTTTATTTTCTTTGTCTGCTCATATCTTACACAACTTTGGGGGAGAAGGTGATACAGATAAGAGACAAAAGAAAAGGAAAAGAAAAAAATAAAAACAACCCACACATCTAAAAGTACTAATAAAAAAGTATACAATTATTATATAATCAATATCAATAGTGTGTGCTGGGGAAGGGGAGATGGGGTATTATCCTGATATATCTGTCATCTGCAGTTATTTTAAGAGAATAATTTAATCCCTGGCATTCCTAAAACCTATGTGATAAAAGTCATGTTATAATGATGCTTGTTAAACTTACTCTAAAAACAAAATGCAAGCAAATTAAGAGCAATCCTGGCATGCTTATTTGAATAATCCATAAATTTAACATACACACTACTTCTCAGATAAAAATTTTTAAGATTTTGGAAAACAAAAACATTTTTAATTGGTGAAAGAATGCATTTTTTAAATTTAATTTTTATTTTATATTGGAGTATAGTTGATTTACAATATTGTGTTAGTTTCAGGTGTACAGCAAAGTGATTCAGTTATACATATATCCATTCTTTTTCAGATTCTTTTCCATATAGGTTATTACAAAATACTGAATTCCCTGTGCTACAGAGTAGGTCCTTGTTGATTATCTATTTTATATACAGTAGTGTGTATATGTTAATCCCAAACTCCTAATTTATCCCTCCTCCCACCTGTCCCCTTTGGTAACCATTAAGTTGGTTTTAGAAGTCTGAGTCTGTTTCTGTTTTGTAAATAAGTGCACTTGTATCATTTTTTTTTAGATTCCACATATAAGTGGTATCATATGGTATTTGTCTTTCTCTATCTGATTTACCTCACTTAGTATGATCATCTACAGGTCCACCCATGTTGCTGCAAATGGCATTATTTCATTCTTTTTTATGGCTAAGTAATATCCATTGTACATATGTACCATATCTTCTTTATCCATTCCTTTGCTGATGAACATTTAGGTTGCTTCCACATCTTGGCTATCGTAAATAGTGCAATGAACACTGGGGTGCACGTATCCTTTTGAATTATCCTTTTCTCCAGATATATGCCCAGGAGTGGGATTGCTGGATCATATGGTACCTCTATTTTTAAGGAACTTCCATACTGTGTTCCATAGTGGCTATATCAATTTACATTCCTACCAACAGTGTGGAAGGATTCCCTTTTCTCCACACCCTCTCCAGCACTTATTTTTTGTAGATTTTTTGATGATGGCCATTCTGACCGGTGTGAGGTGATACCTCATTGCAGTTTCTATTTGCATTTCTCTAATAATTAGCGATGTTGAGCATTTTTTCATGTGCTTTTTGGTCATCTGTATGTCTTCTTCGAAGGAATGTCTATTTAGATCTTCTGCCCATTTTCTGATTAGCTTGTTTTTTGATATTCAGCTGCATAAGCTGTTTGCATATTTTGGAGATTAATCCCTTGTTGGTCACTTCGTTTGCAAATATATTCTCCCATTCTGTGGGTTGTCTTTTTGTTTTGTTTATGGTTTCATTTGCTGTGCAAAAAGCTTTTACGTTTCATTAGGTCCCATTTGTTTATTTTTGTTTTTATTTTCATTATTTCAGAAAGATATTTCTGCAATTTATGTCACAGAGTTTTCTGCCTATGTTTTCCTCTAAGAGTTTTATAGTATAGTCTTACATTTAGGTCTTTAATCCATTTTGAATTTATTTTTGTGTACAGTGTTAGAGAATGTTCTAATTTCATTCTTTTCCATATAGCTGTCCAGTTTTCCCAGCACCACTTACTAAAGAGACTGTCTTTTCTCCACTGTATATTCTTGCCTCCTCTGTCATAGATTAATTGACCATAGGTGTATGGGTTTGTATTTGAGCTTTCTATCCTGTTCCATTGATCTATATTTCTATTTTTGTGCCAATACCAAACTATTTTGATTACTGTAGCTTTGTAGTATAGTCTGAAGTCAGGGAACCTGATTCCTCCAGCTCCATTTTTCTTTCTCAGGATTGCTGTGGCTATTTGGGGTCTTTCCTGTTTCTGTACAAATTTTAAAAATTTTGTTCTAGAAAATGCCATTGATAATTTGATAGGAATTGGATTATCTGTAGGTTACCCTGGGTAGTATAGTCATTTTGACAATACTGAATCTTTCAATCCAAGAACATGGTATATCTTTCCATCTGTTTGTGTCGTCTTCGATTTCTTTCATCAGCATCCTATAGTTTTCGGAGCACAGGTCTTTTTTCTCCTTAGGTAGGTTTATTCCTAGGTATTTTATTCTTTTTGATGCGATGGTAAATGGGATTGTTTCCTTAATTTCCCTTTCTGATCTTTCATTGTTAGTGTATAGAAATGCAAGAGATCTCTGTATATTAATTTTGTATTCTGCAACTTTACCGAATTCATTGATAAGCTCTAGTTTTCTGAAGAATGCATTTTAATATTTATTTGAAAGTTCTTTCCAGAAACTTGGCAGAGAATGTCATACTTCCTACATCCATAATTACAATTCTAGTTTTTGATATTCTAGTATTCTAGAATACAATTTCTATTACCAAAATGCTAGTATTTTTGTTGGTGCAATGCCATTATTTCTAACATAGCTTAGCAGCTTTATTAGAATTCTTGGCTCTCTCCACTTCCCTTCCCTGACACTCTAATATCCTCCCCACCCTTCAGTTCTTGCAAACCCCCCATTCACCTAGAGAAAAGAATTTTAAAAAAACTACACAAGAGGAAATTGGACATGGATAGGCACATCTCTCAGGAAGGAGAGAAATCATACCACAGTTTAGGTCATTCCTTTTGGGTGGCTGGCAAGAAAAAGCAAGTCTGCTGTAACCCAGAGCCCTTTGTCAGGGCAGAAAAGCTTCCTCACCCTTCAGGAGTGTTCTAAAGCCGTACTGAATCAGCCACACCTGAAGAGGCAGACCAACGGGTGCCCTTGAGTAGAGGAGACAAACCCTGAAGGAAACAGCAGACCAGCAGTGGTCACTGTGAAAAGTTTAGCTGTTTTTTTGGTTCCTTCTAAAAAATTAGAACTTAAAATATTAGGGTTACTACTGTCAGTTTATATAATGAAAACACTTACTGAGCAAAATTCTTCTTTTCCTATAAGTGTTATGTTCTACATTAAAACTGTGAACTAAGAATGCAACTATTTAGAAAACTGAAAATGAAAAAAAGAAGCTTTTGTGTTTCTACATTAAAGTGGTAGCTGTATGGATTGCATCCCACTCACATCTTCTAAAACCTATCCAGTACATAAAGGAGACAAATTCCAATAAAAACACCCATAATCTATGCCTAAGTTAACTAGAAAAACAGAGTGGAAAACTCAAACTGACATGTAAACTGGAGTTTATATACACCTGAGTCCACACCAGCAGAGTCCAGCAGGAGCTATGTGGAAGAATGGGGTGTGCAGAATTACATGGGCTAGGGTTCACCCCAAAAGGGGAGAGCCCCACCCCAAGATGAACTACTAAGGGCAGGTAAGAGCACTGGCAAGAGGAAAGTATCTTGGACCAAATATGGCAGTCTCAGGAAGACATCATGCCTGAAAGGGATAGGGGGCACCCTGGAAAGCAGAAGTGTCCCCTAAAAGTAGCTTCTGGTTGTAAAGGGATGAAAGCAGCTGACAAAAATTGGCCCTAGTCAGGTAGAAGGCACTGGGCCACATAAACACACATGGAACTCAGTGAGAGATGGACAAATCTGAAATAGAAATTAGAAGTCTCTAAAATACTCAAGAAATATGCAAAATATACTTGGAAATAAAGCTAATTTATGTGGTGACTAAAGGAGAAACAATATGACTAAAATTTCTACTATGGACATAGGAGGTCAGAAACAGAAGAGCAAAAATAAAAAGTATTTAAAAAAAACTAAAGAAATACAAAGTATTTAACTGCATAAACATAATAGTTTTCATTTGCAAAACACCCCTGTAAGCAAAGTCAAAAGACAAACTAGGAAAAAATATCTGCCAATTTATTCAAGTGCTGATGTCCCTAATACAAATATAAAGTTTCTAAAAATCAAAATGACTGAGCAGCAAAATGAGCAGAACTATAAAAACTACTAATAGCTCTTAAATATAAGAAAAGATGCCCAAACTCCCTCATTCATAATGAGAAAACCACAAATTATAACTACACTGAAATGTCATTTCTCAACTAACAGACAGGTAAACAGCTGAGTTTAACAACACAATGGGTTTGGGAAAATTGTAAGAAATGAGATACTCATATATTACTGGTGGGAGTGCAAAATGTCACAATTTCCGTGAAGGAGAATTTGGCAGTATTTAACAAAATTACATATGTATCTACCATTTGGTTCAACAATCCCACTTTTAGCACCAATTCCCAATTTAATGATGTCTCTACATATGTATGGAATAATCCGTATGTAAGATGATTCACTGTGACTTTCTCCTAACAGGGTTGGAAATAACCAACATGTCTGTCTACACAATACGACAGTATTCAGACACACGCTTTTTTTTTAAACTGCTAAAGTAAAAAACGTAATAGGACCCAGGGTCTCCTAACAAAACAGCCATAATGTCCAGCATACAATCCAAAATCACCTGTCAAACCAAGAACCAGGAAAATCACATGAAAGAAAGAGAATCAACCAATGTCAACACTGTGATGAATAAGATACTGGAATTAACTGACAAAGATTTTAATGAGGTCGTCATAAAAATGATTCTACAAGCAATTACAAGTTCTAGTGTTTCAAAACTGAAACATCAGAAACTCTCAGCAAAAATTATAAGTTATAATAAAAAAGAGCCAAATGGAAATTACAGAACTAAAAAACAGAGTAAGAGAAAAATACGAGATGGGCTCAACAGTAGAGTCAAGATGACCAAGGATAAAAATCTGAACAAAAGAGAAAATAGACTGAAAAAAGATAAATAGAGCCTCAGGTACATGTGAACAATGACGAATGACTGAACGTTGGTATCATGAGAGGCATAGAAAGAAAGGAAAAAGAGGGATTTCTCTGGTGGTACAGTGGGTAAGACTCCATACTCTCAATACAGGGGGCCTGGGTTTGATCCCTGGTCAGAGAACTAGATCTCGCATGCATGTCGCAACTAAGAGTTCACAAGCCGCAACTAAAGATCCCACATCCACGATGAAGATCCCGCACGCCACAATTAAGAGTCGGTGCAGCCAAAATAAATAAATAAAGGAATATTTAAAAAAAAAAAAAAAAAGAAAAAAAAGAGGGGTACAGAAAAAAAAAAAAAAAAAAGAAAAATTAAAAAAAAAAAAAAAAAGGAAAAACAGAGTGGTACTGAAAAAGTATTTCAAGAAATCATGCCTGAAAACATTCCGTGTTTGGAAAAAGACACAAACCCAGACTTAAGAAGCTAAGAAACCCCAAATAGCACAAACAAAACTGTTCTTCAGAAATAAAGGGGAAGTCACCCTCAGGCAAAGGAAAACTAAAAGAATTTGTCATTAGCAGATCTGCCTTTGAAGACTAACTAAAGGAAGTGATAAAAGATGGACTCTGAGGCAAACAGAAGAAAGAATAGAAATAGAAGAAATACAGGTACATACAACAGACTACCATCCTCCTCATGAATTTTATAAATCATATGTGATGACTGCTACAAAAATTATAACAGCAGTAATATTCAAGACAACGATATTTAAAGGTGGGGTTTCCATACTTCACAGGAAGAGATTTTGATAGCAATACCACATATGTACAATGTAATAACAACAGCAACCATGAAGAACACTATACTAAGCAACATACACAAAAAAAGAACACTAAAATCATGAAATCCTTAAAAATGTTCAAATAACTAAGTATCCCACAGAAGGCAAAAAGATATCAACAAGGAAACATACAGAAGAAACAGAAAACAAATAAAATGGCAGACTTGAGCTCTAACATATCAATAATTACCTTGAATACAAATGGCCTAAATATACCAATTAAAGGCAAAGATTGACAGACATGACTCAGCTATTTTTAAGAAACTCATTTCAAATTCAGCAACATAGGTTGAAAAGTAAAAAGACATTAAAAGATATATCATGCAAACAAAAAGCAAAGCAATACAAAACCAGGAATGGTTACAGTCATATCAGATTCAGATCAAAGAAAATTACAAGACATAAAGAGAGACCTTACATAATGATGGGGGGTGGGGTGGGGAGTCAAATTAGAAGTATGGGATTAACAGATACAAACTACTATACATAAAATAGATAAGCAACAAGCATTTACTGTACAGCACAGGGAATTATACCCAATCTTATAATAACCTATAATGAAATATAATCTGCAAAAAAAAATCACTATGTTGTACACCTGAAACTAACACAACACTGCAATACTGCAAATCAACTAAAATTCAAAAAAAATTTTTTTAAGCATTCACATATGATCTTAAGATATGTATCAAGTAGCAATTATGTTATTATAAAAGATAGAAATAAAATTAAGACCTTAACTTAAAAAGTAATTTCTCCATAAGGAGGAGCACAAGATATCTTCAACTATTCTAAGGGAAACATTAAGATGCTACACAGTCATAACTATCTGTGATCAATAATATCACTAACAGAGATGCTGCTGTGATAATACTCACAAGTGAGGTTATCCTTTCATCATGTTATCTCAACCCTTTTATGGGTCACCTTTGAACTTCAAGTAAATAGCAGAACCGTGGTTGCTAAAAGTAAAAAAAGCTCACGACTGCTGCTAGTAATGACCAAGGGTGCGCTAAATAGAGGAAATATCAGTAACCTCCCACAAACCAGAATGAAGAATAAAATAACAGAACAAAAGAAAACAAGAGAACATAAAATAACGTATTATTTATTTCTAGATACAACTGATATTCATTATGGTTTTCACACACTTGAGTCTTAGAGTAATAACCTTCAGAGACAACCTCCAGGAATGCCTTCCCACCTCACTCCACCAGTGACTGCCAGAAGGGCATCTTTGTCCCCTTAAACCCACCTTAGCAGGAGAGGAAGAAGCCTATGTCTTTCAGGACTGGACAGTAGTAAAGAAAAGAAGACAACAGCATTTGCTTGGAAGCAGTTAAGACTGGGAATCTCTGCTTCTTTCTGTGAGAATTTGGAGGCTTCAGATGTACAATAACAATTCTAGTATGTACCTTGCCATGTTGTAAGGATTAAATCAAAGAATGTACCATTTCACACAAAAGATGCTTCATATAGGGTAGGTAAGTAACATTTCACAGAGTTCAAAAGAAAGGAGAAATACTCGGAAGTGATAGTTCTATTTTCCTCATCATGTAACTGGCAGTAAGCACATTCTAACCAGAATTACTAGGAATATTAGATACTTTATACCCCCAATGCAGAAAAAAACATGCCACTTACATAAAACACATCAGTCAGGAAATAAACCACAAGATTAACAATAAGAACTGGTGATTGATTATATTACAAATATACCTCCAATTTTATAGATTGAGAATTTGTGAGTTTGCTTATTTGGGAAGTAAAACCTGGAGACAAAGGTCTAAAGCATAAAGCACACATCCCTTTGGTGAATTAAATCTTCCTTTTAAGAATTAAGCACTTACCTAATCACAACAGAGTCCCTGGTATAGCCACCGTCATATTCTGTAGTTTCTTCTAGTGCTTGGAAATCTAGATTCTGCAAATTCGAGAAAACATGTCTTAACATCTACACCACACCATTACAAACAATCAATAGAAGATATTTTTGCAAACCCTTGCTTTCTTACCCGGCTTCCACATATAAGCAATTCAATTTCCTCTGGTCTGAATAAGTACTTTAAAGGAGATTCATTGGTCACCATATGAAAACCTCTCCGAAAAGCCTTGAACTGTTTTTCTACTGATTTATTGAGAATGTAGTCAGAATAGAGATTGACAAATTCCTGCAGAAAATATTAACCACAAGAGCATCTTATAATATGCAGTACAACAAAACACAACGAGCTACAGGGCTGCATAACTTTTTTGTTTTTATTTTCCCAAAGAAAAAACATTCAAGAATATTTTTTAAAATTCAAACTTTACACACACAAAGGAAAATACCTTTAACAATTTCACAGCTCTCTATTATAGTCAATACTGAACTGTAAAAAGGCCATGCACAAATAAGTTGATACAATTTTAAAGTTCTCTCAATTAGGTATGCAAACAAAGAGACATTTAAACCATTTATACATCAATTTATAAAAATTAACATTTTTAATAAAGTGCAATGTACTGGATATATATAAGCAAACAAGGAAGTCTCATGTTTTCTATTCTAGAATATTTGGGGAGCTGCCTAATGTATCCAGTTCAACAAAAATATTGGTGTTTTAATTGATGCACAAGCTACTATACCAAATCATAAATGGAAAATATACTTTTGTATCCTAACTTAGTGAATATAATATTTTATCAAAAATTATATTAACATAAACACACACTTACTAAAGGTTTTATATATATCGTAATTTCCCTGTTATGTTCTGGGTTATTCCCCTCTGTTTCCAGATGCATACTTTTCTAGTCAACAGAAAACACAAAACTGATTTCTTTAAAGTATTCTTTAATACTTTTCAGACGTATACTTAAGGCACATATATGTGTGAGTACATTAAATGCAATTATCATCTGTTTGGTTATAAGGACCTTAATTACAAGGTCCCTGTTTCCCTCCCCTCTACAGCTTAATATGAGAAACACCCCACTTCATGCTTTATAGCACAGCCACACTGAGCCATTCACTACCTCCTACGCATGCCTTCTTTCTCTAAAAGGGGCTTAATGCCCAACCATGTGCTCTCACACAGCTTACAGCCAAAATTTAGGAAACTGTGGTTATTTCCTTTATAATAACTTGGTTACTTGATTTCTTGGGTCTCTGTATGGATATTAGATACTCCTTTAAAAACTAGAAGCATATATGATTTAAAATTCTGTTAATAAAGAGAAAAGACAAGGATGACATAAAAACATTTATTACCTTCCTGTTTTCATTTGTAATTGGAATTTTATCACCATTTTCCTTTAGATCATACATCATTGGATTACCAAAAAGATCCGTCTGAGATATCTGGAAAGTGATCATCATATCATCTTCCACATTCCCTTCATACTCCAGTAAGTCTTTTAAACTCTGATATAGAACCTAACAATCAGAAGTGGAAAATTAAGGCTACCACAGAACTACAAAATACAACAGTTTGTATCACTCTTCTTGGGAAAAGATTAAAAAACAAAAAGCCTTTAACAATAAAAATTAAAGCATAGATAGTATTCCTGCCTCAATAGTTTATATGTAGAAACTAAAGAAAGACTGTCAGTCATTGGTGATGTCCCATTCTCTGCTGAGAAACCCCACACCAGCTACTTAGCAATGGATCTCACTGTGCTCTTATGAGAACCTTAGAGGTGTGTCTCAAGGTTAAAGAGCGGCTGTAGCCACCAGCCCCTTACTCAGCGCAGCTCTGATTTAACTGGGCAATTTCATGATTTCATTAAAAACAAACGAGCAAAAAATTAAAAACACTTTCCTACAGAATCAATCTTTACAAAGCCAGCTTGCTGACAGCAATATGTAAAAAAGTTCCCCTTCAAGTTTTTAAGTGTTTGGTACTTCAGACAGATTAAAGCAACTTTATCTTACTAGGTATAGATATTAACAAAGGTTCCAAATGAAAGCTTTAAAATTTTTATATAAATGAAACTCTGTATTTGCTTTTAAATAAAATCTAAAAGAGAGAAGAAAAAATGACCAAAGACTTACAGGGTGAGAGTCTCCCAGGTCAAGAAAAGTTCCTTTTTTCCCCATTAGTTTCCTGTAGACAACCATGGGAAAATGTACATCCAGTATACAGTTATTGTAAATAGCCAGACCCAGTACTATGCCAATCAGAGTGAACTGACCCTCAGTTTCAAAAGAGGATGGATTAAACCAAAACAATTTTGTAGATTCATCATATGTGAACATACCTATAAGAAATGATTTTTAAAAATACATTACTTTCACATTTTATTACAGACTGATGAACAAATATTTATACATATAAAATATAAAAATATACAATTATACATGTAAGCTTATGTGCACTACGTATAGAAATATTTTTTCTCTTACATTAGCACTTGAGAAAACAAAGTTCAAATACATATGAATGTTATAAATTGTGGCAAATGGTAGCATATATTTTTAAGAAGCCAAAGAAATAAAGTAATAAGGCATTTTGGTGGCATTTTCTAAGAAGTTAGGGAAAATGTTCATTAAATTCAAGTTCTCTAATCTTCTACTAACACAAATGAAAAGTTAATCTGCATTCACACTTTATCTACTCAATCGTTGAAAAATAAATGCAAAAGGAAAAAACGCTAATCATACTTTGAAAATGTTTCACTTATAAAAACATATTCAATCCATACATACCGTTTTAAAAAACAATTTTGAATTTCATTAAGTAAAAGTCTGTTTTTTCCCCAAACTGTACAACGGTTCCATGAAGTTTATCCAGCACCTTTCTAACAAAGATGCCAAGTACTTAAACTCAGGTAAACTTGATAAACTTAGATTATGCCCCAAAATCAAACCCATTTAATACACACATTAACTGTGAGTCAATAAGTAAAACAAAAGTAATTTGTATTTGTAGTCTTCTTTCAGTTTCACATGGTCTTCACTATTTTAAACGCAAGTTTGGAAACCTTTTTGATATCACTCATTTAAAAATAGGAATCTGAATAGCCATTACCAAGGTAGATTTATCTCCTTCCCTTTAAAGAAATATCTAAGATAAAAGTTAAATGATATTTTAATTGAATTAACAATTTCATTTTACTAAAATGTTTTTCACTTGCTACTGTGAAACTGAATGAAAATATTTTAAGAATTAGGTCTGGAAAAGAGGGGGAAGTTCCAATAGAACAAACTTCAGAAATCAATAGAGCATATAAATCAATTTATAAGTTTTTTAAAAGTTTTAAAAATGTTTCTTCATTTTCACATGCAGTTTAGGTTAAATATAAAGGGAAATTTAAAAGGTCCCCTTGATCATAAGAACATGAATTAAACTAAGACATTTTTCTAATGCAATTTAATGTTCATGAAATAACATTTTATAAATTATCCAATTCATACTTGAATTTCACAGTTTACATCCAACTTTTTTTACAGGCCTAAGTTACAACATCTACTGAAGTGCTTAAAAACTTCATTTAATTATAAATATGGTATTAACAGGGTCAGAACGGTTAAAAATAATTACAATTAATAACTTTGATGAAATATCACAAATGCATGTCCTTGGTCTCAAGGGCAATAAATTAACAAATTAATCGGAATGTAAATTACATAGGTCACTACTCTCATCTTTCTGTGTGAAAGATAATAATATCTTTCAAGGAGATACCATTTGGGGCACATTTATTTTCAGGTCCCTGGAAGAAAAGCTTCATGAAGTGTGGCTCTTCTAAAATATTCCTTTTTGATATTTCTATTGTCATCATTTTAATTGTTTTACTATCAAGTGGATCTGTTTAATGTATGGTTTTTCTTAAAAGTATTTCTGCATATAATGTAAATATACTTTATAGCTAACGTTTAACTTTTTTAGATACATCAGAACCTACAGCTAAAGTTTACCAAATTTATGAAGCTCATAAATTTTCTGTCTCAAAAAGGGCATGGTTCTATGTGTCTAGGTTTACTTTGAATGAATTACATACAAAATGGCATAGCTTTCTGATTAACAAACATTAGCTAAAATACGAAGTCTTAACTATTATATTTATGTCATGAACTCAAAATGTCTATTTTCATTTGCAAGTAGACTAAGAACAATTACAGAAAAGTCAATTCACTGTACATACTGAGAGTCAATAGACTTTAACGGTTCAATTCTCAAAGCTTAAGGGAAATGATCTGTAGTACTCTCTGCCACATTCTTCACAATTATGATGGTAGCTTTTGAGAAATTCTTTTCCTATAGCTGTCATGCAATCAATTTTAAAAGTAAGCAAACCCAGTAATCAAGTAGTTATACTGTAGAAATTGAATCAGATCACAATTACACAATAGTATACTACCTAAGAAGCTGTTATCTTTTTCCTGTTCTACTTTGCCAAGTTTGTCTATTACTTTGTCTATCAGTGAAACCCAAATTCTTCACTTTTAGACTATTATAGATCAGTTTTTCCCAAACTGTGTTCAATGAAAACTCTTCTGGGAAGCAAATACTATTAGATACAGGATGGAAGAAGGGTTCTGGAGTTCAAAAAGTTTGGGAAAACATTACAATATTAAGCCCAAGAGATCCTGTAGCAAATAAACCAAATTAATTTGATATCAGCCAGTGTTTCCAAACTTTGAGCATGATACACTTGTGAGACATTCTCAACAGTCTTCAGACCATTATTCTATGAAACTCTTGTCTCAGAAATGCTATGGGTCAGACTTCCCCGGTGGTCCAGTGGTTAAGAATCCACCTTCCAGGGGCCTCCCTGGCGGCACAGTGGTTAAAAATCCACCTGTCAATGCAGGGGACATGGGTTCACTCCTGGTCTGGGAAGATCCCACATGCCGTGGAGCAACTAAGCCCGTGTGCCACAACTACTGAGCCTGCATGCTGCAACTACTGAAGCCCACGCACCTAGAGCCCATGCTCCGCAACAAGAGAAGCCACTGTAATGAGAAGCCTGCGCACCGCAACAAAGAGTAGCCCCCGCTCGCCCCAACTAGAGGAAAGCCCATGCGCAGCAACGAAGACCCAATGTGGCCAAAAAATAAAAAATAAAATATCTGTTTAAGTTATCTAAATAAGAACTTGAATAAATGAGTGATGCAGGACCAATCCCCAAAGTCCACAAATTCAGTCATTATCTGTGACTCTAGGTAATCCATACCAAAATCTCCTTCTGCTGCTCTTCATAACTGAAAATATTTATAAACCTAGGTAAATAAATTCTTAATTCAAAAAGATATGACACCATGATCACATCACTAAAATATTTACCAATATCTGGATTGAAGATTTCCTCCACAACCAGCTGAAAAAATTCTTTGGAAACACCTCCCTCATCAACTCCTTGTTCTCCTTCAAATTCCACATACAACTGTTTCTTCAAGTCTGCAGGATTTTCCATAGCGATCATCTCTAGCTAGTGAGTGAAAAGATAAAGTGAAAAGGTGAATGCCAGTATTAGGATGAAAGAAAATAAAAATAAGGTGTAGGGGTAGGGAGCAAATAAAAGGTATCGTTTTTGATATATTTTAAATGGAAACAGGAAGCAAACTGGTAAAAAGCCAGTGAAGGCAAAGATTCAGTCTCACAGATAATGGAAAAATAGGACAGAAGAAAAACCGGCATAGAATCTAAAGGGTTACTTTCTAACTACTGATCTGTTATGAAATTAACATTAAAATTAGAAAATTAGAATTAGGTTTTCTGTTAATTATGTATATAACAAGCCTGGGCAGTAAGATTAGGACATGGAAAAAAGTCAAGATAACAAAAATGCCATAAGTAACTACTCAAATTATTTCAGGAGAAACAATGGCTTATAGAAGTTTGACTTCAAAACTGTTCACTTGTAGTTCTTTATGTTTACTAGAATAGAAACTCAAGAATTAAGTCTTAATATCTATTAAACCATAAATAAAACAATTTCAATTAAGAAAAATACATTTAGGGAAGCAGTTTATGGTCTCCTAATAGCACCTTAGGTACAAATTACCATTTTAATGGATTAGAACATATTTTATATCCACTTTTTTTTGAAAGCAGATGAGACATACACTTGCCTATATCCTTACTCTTAACTTCTTACTAACAGTTATCAAACCCCAGTTTCAACATTTCTTCAACTATAAATCTTTACCAAATACTTTTTGTATCTATAGAATAATATAATGATTGCTCTCAGTTATTGAGATTAATCATAAAATCAACACTGTATTCTAATGTGAAACATTTATACTGTAATTTGTCTTATGTCTGAAATTTACTAACAGCATGCCTGACTGATCATCCACCTTATTTGCTAAAGTGACTTTAAATCTGCCAAAACAGAACATATTTAAGGGTGTTCAGGTTTTTGCAACTATTCCAATTAGAATCTTTAAAATGGTTTTGAGCAATGCAAACATCATCAGAGTAAGTGTACTATAGTCAGTCCTAAAGTAATTACTTTAAGTAACAGCACTATTTTGTACATTCTAGTGTGTCTATAAAAAATAAAATAAAATCTCACAAATTCATGATTCAGGTCAGTTGCCCTAGATCAATGTTTTTCAAGCTGCCAACTGCAATTCATTAGTGGGTAGTCCAATCCATTTAATGAAAACCAAATAAGGGAAAAAATCAGAATGCATTCCACAAAGTACTGGCACCTACTGTTCTGTGAAACTTTTGCTTCAATTATATGTACAGGCAGATATGCACATGAGTACTGGAATGCTATGTAAAATATCTCTTACTAGGGGCTGCAATCAAAAACATTTGAAAAAAGCCAAAATGATCTCCTGGATATCTTCGACTTTTGGATTCTATGATTCTGTGAATTTAGAATCTTTAGCTCTAAGGAATGTCTATCCCGTACAACAGTGGTATCTACCATTTGCAAAATCATTTTTATGCCAAGTTGTATTAAGATAATTTATCTTTGAGACAGTGCCGTTGTGGAAAGATTGAGTCAAATACTCTGTATTAGTCCCAACTGTCACTTAACATAATTTTTAACCTTTAAATTTTAGCAAGGAACTCAGCTGAGCCTGTTTCCTCATCTGCAAAGGGGGAAAAAAATTAGGATGGTATTCTTCACACTGCAAAGTTGTGAAGGCTTAATAAGAATGTATGAGAAGGAGTTCTAGAGTGGGTGATATTAAGATAACACATCATATTGTTACCTTTTAAAACACCTCTGCTCTTTGAACAAAAAATTCTCAATTTGATTTTATAGCCTAGTCTCAAATTTTGAAAATAACTTAGGGGAAAAAAAACAGTTCCAGTTGGAAACCTGTTTCAAGTCACTAGCTATAAAGAATTCCATGGACTAAGTCAGAATTATCATCTTAGCTCAAATGTGGTTTACCCATCAGGCCAATATCCCGTATTGCCATGAAACGCATCGCTAATTTCCTTCTCCCAGTTTCCACCTGCCTAGGTGTTATAGAAATGTACATCAATGTTTATGTACACCCTTACAACACAAAGACAAACCTGCTTCTATCAGGTACAGCTATTCCAAGGTGGAAAAAAATAATTATCTGTTATTTAATTATGTGTCCTGTATCTCTTCCTCACTAACATTTGTAACTGAGAGCTGACTCTGTGTCAATGTGACTGATACTTTTTAAAGGATTTGGTGTAGTTTCTAAAGAATTCAGAGGCCCCATGTTCTAGTCTTAGCTCCACACAAGACACTTCGTATCACAGGTGAAGCAAATTTATCTTCAGTCTTAATAAAATATTACATCTGTCCATTCCCACCAATCTTCACTCCATTCCACACCTTGAATGCCAAAAGAATTTAATGCAATATGTTCTATTATTATGATAATTATAAACAAGTCACTTTATCTCTCTTTTAGTTTCATCTGTAAAATGAGCATAAAAATATATCAATAAGTTAATGTATGCAAAGCACAGATGAATTCCCTGCACAACAATTCTTTATAAATACTAGCTCTTGGGCTTCCCTGGTGGCGCGGTGGTTCAGAGTCCGCCTGCCGATGCAGGGGACTCGGTTTCGTGCCCTGGTCCGGGAAGATCCCACATGCTGCGGAGCGGCTGGGCCCGTAAGCCATGGCCGTTGAGCCTGCGCGTCCAGAGCCTGTGCTCCACAATGGGAGAGGCCACAACAATGAGAAGCCCACATACCACAAAAAAAAAAAAAAAAAAAAAAATACTAGCTCTTATTATTACGTTTGTTTTATTGGCTCTCAAATTTTTTTCAGGCTTGGCTGAAAATTTAATGACTCAGCTATAACAGAACAAAAATATTCCGGTATTAACAACAAAACAATATATAGCACTTAATATGCCAGGACACTTTACACGTATCAACTCATTTAATCTTCATAAGAACCTTATCAGGTCGGTAATATTATTAACCCTATTTTACAGATGCATACCCTGAAGTAATGAGATTCATAAACTTGCTCAAGTCAGTCAGTAAATGGTAGAACAGAAATTCTAGTCCGGGCACCAAGCTCTTTACTATGCTTTACTGCCTCTCCTCAATGACTAGTAACAATCTTTTTTAAAATATTGAGTGATTTTCATTGTTATGTTCTTCTGTATGTTTCAATCTTTTTTTCTTTTTACAATAAATATATATTATTTTTAGAATCAGGATATATTCAAATGTAAATATTCACAGAAAGAATGGCTTGAAAAATAGACTGCAACTGAATTCCGTGGGTGAAAATTTCCCATTATTATTTATTTTAGATTATCATTCTCAGATATACTACATGGTTCTCTAAAATATGGTATAATTTATGACATCAGTAGCCTATCTTTTATAAAAATTACTTTTGTGGTAACAAACACATAACAAAATTTAACAATAATTATTTTGACAAAGGCCATTATTAATGGACTGCATTTATTTTTATGTTTCTTAAAAACAAGCACTTCTAATTCATTGTTCAATTAGAGAAGACTTAAGAATAGTAAAGGTATATCACTTTATGTAATAGACACATACCATTTAAAATTGAATTTTTTTAATCAAAAGCTATCTTGAAGGCAGGAGAATATTTGGAAATTGGAAGAATATGTCAATGAACAGTCTGAAAAAGGAGAATTTGCATGCATCCTTTAATTAAATTCATTTAGTACACAGACCTGGATTTTTACATATAGGTTTTCTTAAAGTAGAGTACACTTTGTATTAATTTAATATGGAGACTGGCAAAAGACAGATTATGTCAAATGTATCCTGATTCATAGTCGAAAAAAAAATTCCTAATGGTATGGATATTTAAGTAGAAGTAGCAGTATTCAGATAAAACAGACCTAATACTTAAGAATGCTTAGGATCCATAAGAATGGCTGGCTTAAACTACTTCAGTCAACTTACTAGAATCTACGTTTAAACACTTTGCTAGTGAGTACATTAAAACTACTGACTGGAATGAGATTTTTAGATTACCTGGGTATATTTAGTTTTTTAAGAGATGAGGAAAAGTTGTTTATCTTAAATATAAAGTTTAGATGTCTGGGTAACAGCCAAATCATATAATCACATCTGCCTGTGAGACCAGGAACCCTGAGTTCTACTTCCAATTCTGTTATTAATTTCTGTAGGTCAGAATCTGAGTTTCATTTTCCTCCATGTAACAACTAAGAAGTTTGACAAGTTTCATTGTTTTAAATTATTTTACGATGAATCTATGTAGATCTATTTCACTCTCTTGTTCTAATTAAAGGACAAAAATCAGGTATGAAGTTCTTCAATTCAATTAGAATAAATCTTAAGAAACTATAATGGCCATTGCATTAAGCACAATATAGTGAATGTAGATGATACAATTAAACATACCTAAAGGAGCACAGAATAATCTTACTCCTAAAGCACTGTAGGTCAATTGACAAGTAAAAGAATCAAGTTTTGTTTCAATAATAACTAAGGGTGTCTATCAAGGAAAATGCTGGGGACTGGGTTAGACAGTATTGGTATAGCAGAGCCCAGAATAAAATGAGTGAGTGATTTTTAGAAGAGATTGAGCATAACCTCTTGGCAGTAGGGCTTGCATTTGTACCTATCACCTTTAATATGTTCTAGTTCTTATTTTTGGACTTTCCTATCCAGTTCTACATCACAGCCATTTCTTTTGGTCTTTAGATCTCTACTCAAAATTCTAGGACTCCCTGACTAATCTGAACCAAGTCTCATATCACCCCTTACCCCTATGCCTACAATCCTCATCACTCTCTTAAAGCCTGCCAGTTCCTAAACATGTAATTGTATATAAAAATGGCCTCAATAAATATGTATATATAAACTTGTACAAACAGCCATCTCCCAAATACTGGTTTCCAGTCTGGCTTTATCAGAATACCTGGGGTTACTAACAGAAATATATATTCCTAGGCTATACACGAGAGCTCCTAATCTGAATCTCTAGAGGGTAGAACTTTGGATTTTTTTTTTTAAACAAATCTCTCATTCAGATACGAAGGCAGTTTGGGGCACCTCACAGACAGCAATACTGTCTTCCAAAATACTCATACCCTCAACTCAATTTCCTAACATAAAAGGTAATTTAAAAAAATTTTTTTACATCTTCTTACCTTGAAGATGTTTTGTCTAAGAAAAAAATGACAAATTATCTAAAAGATAATTTAAAAGAACACACAAATAGATAAATGTTATTAGCAAAATACCGTAAAAACCTCATCACATTAGGATCGCTCTCATTCAAATGAAAAGCTGAGTTCTGAGCCCGTTTATCACTGTACTATTTCCTACGGAACAACAAAATGTAGTGAAAATAAGTCCTAGGGAGAAATATTCCAGTAATTTAAGGGTGTAGGGTTAGTTTTTTTTTCCGGTATGCGGGCCTCTCACTGCTGTGGCCTCTCCCGTTGCGGAGGCTCCGGACGCGCAAGCGCAGCGGCCATGGCTCATGGGCCCAGCCACTCCGCAGCATGTGGGATCTTCCCGGACCGGGGCACGAATCCGTGTCCCCTGCATCGGCAGGCGGACTCTCAACCACTGCGCCACCAGGGAAGCCCCTGTAGGGGTAGTTTTTAAACGATTCTGATATCTATTTGTGGAAAGACAACTTATATATTACATTTCATTGATTTTTAAAATTTGCTTTTGTTTTCATATTTTAACGTCTCTGAAATCAGGATATAACATAAAATTGACAGCGTCTCAAAACTAAATTGGCAGCATTTGTTCTTTTTAGCTGTATTAAAATAACAGTGTGGCCTACAACCAGTGAAGATATCTTAGGTTTGATAAAATATTGTAAACACTAATACTCTTATTGTCATCAAAAACAGTTCCTCTAAAAACTCCAGTTAGGAAACAATTTGCTACTCTGGTTTGAATTATATGGTACATGAAAGCAAGGAATATATTTTTCTTTAAATAAAAAAAATCTATAATCATTAAGTTACTACCGCTCCCTCCAAGCTAGTCAGTCTTACAATTAATAACTGAAAAATAAGACCCAATAGAAATACTCAAGAGTGCCATATTTTCCAGGAAATAGTCACTATTTTCCAGGCCTCATTTATAAACTAACGAGTAGATGAGCTCCAAGGCTCCCTTTAGCTCTTAAAGTCTAAGGCCCTATAACCTTGATTATTTAATTATTAATATTGAGCACACCACAAAGTTTCTCATTTCCTCTTCTCTTCCTGACCCTACTCTGTAGTTCAAAATTAGCAGGTCATAAGAAAGTGGTCAATAGGTTTATTTTGTTTGTCAAATTGTTATATAAAAAGATGAGGCTTAAAAAAGGCAAAGTCGGGCTTCCCTGGTGGCACAGTGGTTGAGAGTCCGCCTGCCGATGCAGGGGACACGGGTTCGTGCCCCGGTCTGGGAAGATCCCACATGCCGCGGAGTGGCTGGGCCCGTGAGCCATGGCCGCTGAGCCTGCGCGTCCAGAGCCTGTGCTCCGCAACGGGAGAGGCCACAACAGTGAGAGGTCCGCGTACAGCAAAAAAAAAAAAAAAAAAAAAAAGGCAAAGTAGATCTTACTGGGGAATAAGATGTTGAAAATCCATCAGTACTTCTGAGAGTGTACCTGAGAGGATCACCTTAAACTACTTTTTATTACTAAAACACTATAACTTTATCATGATCATCACCTGCTATGAATGTTTCCTAAAAAATTGGCAGATTATCAATTTGACTTCCAAGACCTATTTTGATGTTTATTTTTTAACCTTTCCACACTGTGTTATTAAAGAAGGAAAGAAGGGGGGGGGGGGGGGGGAGGGAGGGGGGGGGGGGGGAGGGAGGGAGGGAGGGACGAGATGGGAGGAAGAAAGTTAGCAGTAAAATCTGCTTAATGTGTACCCCTAAGAAGCTCCTCAGTGGTCATGATTCATCTTTACATCTCTATTGCTTAGCAAAGGGCCTCACACAAAGGGTTTCTGAAGTGGTAATATTCAAGTACAGATATTATCTAGTGAATCCTAGTTTATAATAGGTAAATTGATAATATTTAGCTTTGACATAATTAAGCTGAACTCACTAAAAAAACAATTTGTTAGCATAATTTAAAAGCTCACAGTTAACTTTACCCTAACACTTGCTCAAAGGACATCCTTATAAACTAAAATGGTTGTTTCCTCAAAATTCTAGAGGATAATTTTTAAAATAGAATAAAGTAAGTATACAATAAGCACCTAAAGTTTCGTAGGTTCTTAGTCTTGCTTTACTGGGGCGGGGAAATGGGATGGTGTGGGGGAAGACAGTAAGGCTCAGTAGATTTCTGAGAAGGCAGCTAAGAAAGGTAGACACTTTTTTAAAATTCTGGATTGAATGTCACAGAGAGTAATTTCATTGCTTTTAAAGGCCAGGTACAGCTTTTGGAAACAGATGAAAAGATCCTAACCCAAGACGACAAAGATAAAATGTGTAGTTTGGGGATTTGTAGTTCTGCTCTAACAATGGAAATTCATAGATAGACCTCAACGTGCTTTCCATAAAATATCATCACACCCTTATACAATACCCTATCATTCTGTTAAACTATGGAAAATAAGTTGCTGGCTATGTGATGATCAGTTATTAAGTATATTAAGTCAGTAGTTATTCATGTAGCTCAAAACTACTAAAGTAAAATTAAAAGGGCACCAGAAAGCAAGCAAGCAACGATAATTACTCTAAGCAACTACTGCCCCTTTCTGTCTCTGGTGAAAAACTGCCTGAGTTGCTTAAATAATGAAGAATCCTTTTTCAACATTAGAGACCTATTTGGTATTAAAAAAAAAAAAAAACGGTAACAAAGAAAAGAAGCACAGAACCTCTGCAACTTTTAAATTTCTAAGATGTCAAACAACTTTTTCCACTGGTTTAGTTTTATAAATTCTCAGATTTAGATAAATCCATTCTAAAACTAAAATATATTTTGAAATAAATTTCATTACTTTCTAGTTATCTGTGTCATGGGTTCTTTTCCTTTATTAGTATAGAAGACTGACTATATCTTAATTTTAGTTGCCATTAAATTTTACTTGAAGTTGATGAAAAAGAACTAGCAATGCCAGGTACATCTAATATTATAAATACAATAAAATCCTGTGATAAAGAACCCTATAACAAACGTAAATGTTGGTACAATGTGATTGGCAATTGGTTTCTGTCTTCTGGAAAGGCTTACATTCTTAAATGGGGGCACTAAAATTCTTATTTTCTGTGGAGGGAAGGAGTGAACAAAAAGCAACCCATCTGGAGAAACAGGGAACTAGAAGGTGGGTACCTGTGTTCTCAGTATTCTCCCAGTTCAATCTCCCTGGATTGGGTTGATAATACAGACACCACTAATTACAAGATTCCTGGAATAGTTGCTGTTTTCCCAGAAGTTCCAACCAACTCCAAGGCCTGGTGTAGTCCATATGTATATTTAAGTAGGAAGAAACTACTACAGTCAGGCAGTGCCAAACAAGGACCTTCTGAGTGACCCCGCAGGAACTCCTACCAGCAGCATGCACCACCTGCCCAGGTCACTTCATTAACCTCACAATAATGCAATACTCAACCTCACATGATGGCATTTTTAGACACCACTTATTTCATGGTGTGGTTTTATTCTACCATTTCTTCCTATTAAGACTTTACATTCATACTTATTATTGGGTATCTCCACAACCCCCTAGTTTCTGTGCTCTGCAACATCCACTTCTCTTCTGAATGACAAAACTTTGGGGGTTAGTTGTCAAGATTTAGAAAATTTATTCTTTTTCAAAGAGAGAGTGATCATGACACAAGACAACCAATATTTTGTGGAACATTTATGAACTTGGACAGGAGCAACAAAAATATAGTACTTACATTTACAATAAAAAAGTCCATGTGTTCCTATACTATATAATCATATACATACACTTTCCCCCCAAAGAGTCACTTATAAAATGAATTCACTGAACTGTATCACAGTCTCCCCATCATTAGGTATTCAATCTAGTACTAATTTTTAAACAGTAGCCCAACTTACCCGGACGAGGGCATCATCTATGATATGGTCACGTCTGACTTTGAGTCTCAAATATGGATTCAACTGCTGTCCTTGAACTAAGCTGTAGAGAACAGTGATTCTTCGTTCACTGTACATGCGAATTCTATTGTCATAATACAATCCCAAATTCTTTGTGACAGCATTCAATATAAAGGGACATGTCATAAAAGAGAATTTGTTCTCTGTTTCTACTTTGAAAAAAGTATAATCTTTATCCATTTCTAGAACATCATTCAGTGGTTCATTAATAAACTCTTCAAAAGGGATAAGTGGTTTTCGACAATCCAGAGTTTTAACAGCAAGTTCAGTTTCTAGTGGGTCCACTCGAGGACCTTTCTTGTTCCTTCTTTCTTCTCCCAATAGCTCCTGAAGTGTCAATTCACTGGACTCAGGAATGGGCTCTTCATCATCTTCTTCATTATGATTTGTGTCCACTTCCCCTCCCACTACATTTGCATAGTAAACCATTTTCAAGCACTTGGAAGCAGCAACAATAGCATCATCATCGTTCACTAGATTTCGATTGTTAAAGTCAGTGCTTATGACTTTGTATGTAATAAGCTGTTGAAACGTTTCCATCATTCTCCGAATCTGGTCTGCGCTGTATTTAGACCACAGTCTGACCAGTTTTCCTTGGGCTGCAAGGGGTAGCTTACTCATTGCTTTGCAAAACAGTGGCAAAGCCATTTCCAGATATTCAGGACTGTGGAGATTTCTATTCTCCATGACAATAATGAATAAATTCAGATAATTAGGATCTCGGGAGTATACATTGTGATATGTCAAGTCACATTCCACATTAGGTGACAAATACACAAGTGCATTGAGAAAGGCAGTTTCTATTTTTTCATTAGAGAGCAATCTGGTGTAGACCCTTCTAATGGCCTCAATATCCACAGACACATCGTCAGGACCTAATTTTTGTAAGTTGTTATCTCCTTGTGAGCTATCACTTATCCTTGAGGAAGATGCTTCTGAATCTTCTTCCATAGCTGCAGCAGAACATGCAGCTTTTTCCTTTTCATCTTCATCTTTGTCTTCATCCTTTCCTTGAAGAGATTTCAGTTCTTCCTTGGTGTGTTGTTTGACTTTCCGAAAGCTTTGTACCAATGCCTCAGCACTAGAAAAAACTCTTCCAATAACACGAATTAAAGGGGAATAATCCTCCCTCTCTCTACATAATTCTAGAATTTCATATACCGTCTCTTCTGTTAGGTAAGTCACATCTAGAAAATTAGGAAAAAAGAGAACATTTATTTTCATAATATATATGTATGTTTGCTTTCTTTTAATAAGTTCTAGTGAAAAATAAAATTGCCAAACATTTTGCAATAAATACCATTTATGATTTACAACTCCTTTAAAAAGTATCTTAATACTTAGGTTCAACCAACAAAATATGCTTACCTATTTTTTCAATGTACTACTAATATTAACAACTTTACTCATTCTTTTATATTCTATATGTATTCTTATATATAGCTTTTAACGAGCTCAAGCTCATTTTCACAATGATGGTATATATTAACGTGCAGTTTTAACTGTAAATATGAACCAAGATATCATGTGCCGACTCATCACAATATACCTCTTACAACTTCGCTTTACTTTAGAGCAGAAACACCACTATTTTTCTGAGAGGTTTCTTCCTTATTTCACTACTCTGTTTCAAAAGACTAGGAAGGCAAGGTTTTAATAAAGATTTCTTCAGAGTCCTCTTTTGGAAACAGCCCTTGTCCTAAAACCAGACTAGTTCCTTTCTGAGTCTTCCTTTCTGAGTCTTAGTTTTTTTTCAGGGTGGCCATTCTGTGGGTGACTGAGAAGGATTAATATATCATTTCCCATAAGCTCTGAAGTTGACAGACACTGCCATCTGCAGCCAGGTTGGAATAAATCTTACACAGTGACAGGAAATAGTTACAAAGCAGTGAAAACAATAGGGTGGGAAGAAGGCAACTTATGAGCAGACAAGCGAAACAGACTACTATGTAGTCACCAAAATCTGTTTCCTCTCGTTCCTGCGCACAGAGTTGGACACATTCTCCAGCTTTCCCAGCTTTTTGAGATAAGTGCTACTTTCAGGCTAATGCTTTTCTCCTTCTGGCTAATGGGATGATGCTTCCAGGATGGTTCTGAAAATCGTGCTAAAGATAGTGCCATTACAGCTGCAACTCTGAATGACTGCATGAACCAGAACTCTCTGCCAATCTAAAATATTATGGCTGTTAGATGAGCTAGAAACAAATTTCCACTGTTTGTAATAAGCTAGTATTCTTTCTGGGGTCTACTTAATATTGTATTCTAGCTGATCCTTACAAGTAGAGAAGCCTTTCATTTTCCTTATCTTGCCTTCAGAGTCTTTAAAGTACAAGTAATGACCATCTCCCCCCTAAACTGATATATTACCACTGTTTTTACAGCTTGTAGTATTCAAATCCATGGGAGTTTTATTATGATTTTCTATTATATCCATTCTTCCCCATAAAGAAATAACATCATAAAAGGCAAAAATGACAGCAGGCCCTGAAAGGCCAGACTGAATATCAACTTACTACACATTTTCAGAGTTACCGTAATGTTAACAAATTAAAATTCTAATGAAATCACAGAAGAAACAAAGAAGAAAATACTTCAAGGACTTTTTGAGATAAAAATCTCTGGAGCCATGGACAGTTGCAGGGGTGAAAGAGTTTGTTGCAGTTTGCTGGAATTCATTTTACTTCCTTCTCATATCTGTCTTTAAATATAGTGGCTTAGGCCTCCACTGTCAGCTTTTGCCATTAGACTTTTTACATTTGCTATTATTCGCTTTCAGACAAAACCAGATAAACCTACAGCTCCCATTCTCTTTAACAACAAAATTTAAATCTATACATATACTCCCTTGAGAGGAAAAGAGTAAGTTTGGAGGTTAGAGAATGCATGAGTGCTTAAGGTGAGTGCCACTGCATGAAATACATTAGAAAAAGAAAGAAAAACTCCATGTGTTCCTTCTCTTACACTTTTCTTACTCGAGAAAATACAAGCACACACACAAAAATGAATTTTAACATGCTGTTTCCTAAAACTGCAAGTTCTCATCTTACTCAAATGTTGATTTATTTTGTGCAGTTTAATATGAGCTTTCATAATGTTTGACTTTTTTCAAAGAAGTTACCGAGTACAATGACTGGAGTGAAAAACAATGTAAAACATTCAAACTTGAAAGAGTAGTAAATCCCAATGGTTGGGAATATCATACAATAGGCAATGGGTTGATTCAACAACTTATAAAACTCCCTGGCACTTACCATGAGTTTCAACTAAAAAAAAAAAAAGAAAAAAGAAGAAAAAAACTAACAATTTTAAAATGAAAATTAGCTTAGCTATAATGTACTCACCTTCATGATGTTATCAAAAAAACCAAACCCACCCTACATTCTCTCACTTATTTTCTGAGATAAGCCTATATAATTACAAAATTTCACCTACCAAAGCTGAGAAATATAACCCAATAACACTATTTTTTGTTATGACTTGCATGAATATTAGATTACTAGATATAAAATAAAATGTTTTAACAGTCAACAATTTATTGCATGCAATAAACAGAAGCATAAACAATTGTATTTTAAATGAAAATACAGAAGTAAAAGTATTTCAATCCTGTAGTCAAATAACTACATTAATAAAAGAAGTGAAAACAGCCTTTAAACAGAAGATAACCAAATTTCACTTTATAAATCAATTCTAATAGCAAAGAAAACAATGAATGCTCCGGGCAGAGATAATTCAAAAACCCTGAAAGGGGGGTGGCTGGGAGTGCGCACGCGCGCGAACGTGTGTGCGTGTGCGTTGTGTGTGATCCCTAATGACTATAAAACATGTCTGGCATTACTCAAAGTACTCAAATGTTTGACAGGTAAGACTAACCGATTACCAAAAGGATATGAAACCTCTAATGACCGACCACAAGATCTCATTCTCAACTAACAGAAAGCTGGGTAACGCTGGGTAATACCCCAAGACTTTTGTGTCCTGATTAATAGCAGTTTAGTTTACATGGCTATATCAACTTAAATTTTCTATTGCAATTACTTCTAACTCCAAAGCAAGTGCTATCATTGTTCTGTATTTGAAACGTGATCCTCTGAAACTGCTCTCTTAACCTCCAGCTCTCTAATATATCTGGGCAGACACTTTAGGCTGGCTAACTCCAAATCTATTCACCACCTTTACCCCGACATGCCATTGTGATAGAAACTGCAAACTAAACACTAGTATTCCAATCCTCACTTGCACTGGGGGCGGTATGTGACACAGGTCTGCCAGTGACCTAAGTGGAAGCCTACTGGTGGACTTCTCAGGATTTGTTTTCCTGATAAATGAGACAAATATGACTAACTCATACTTTGAGTAGAAAAAAAAATCATTTATTCTTATTAGCAGATGTACAAAATAAGCTAACTAATATAATTTTCAAATTACCCAAGCAAAGACTATACAGGTCTCTACAAATTATAAAACTGTCCTTCAAATTAAAAAAAAAAATAGTGTTTACTAATATTTTGAGACCACTTTTCATACAGGCCAGTAAAAATTATCGAACTGTGGAAGAAATAAAAATGTAGCACCCCAAATAAAGAGGTTTTGTCATTTTGAATTAACTATTCAGGTATGTTATTTTACAGGAAAGAGAACAAATGATATATTTTGTCTGTTAACTCTAAGAAGATGTACTGGTAAAACAATATTACTGACAAAAGTCTTAATCCCTTTAATCAAAAGAGTGACAGCCTTGTCATCAAATACTTAAGCAGAGGATAATTTTAGAGTCATGTAGATAATCCTATCTTCATTGTGTCAAATGGACCCTGATACTTGTAATGGACACATATAAAATTTCTTAATATGATTCCTACTTCTGCTTTTATATTTGCTTCATAGTAAAAGATAATACAAAATGCAAATGGTCAGTGAATGAGCAGCTTCCAAAAACTGAACCACAAAAATACCAAATTTTATCACACCATGAATCTAATCTTTGGTCCTTGCTACCAGACTGTCAACACCTTCTTTTATGGGCCATAACTCTTTAATAACGAATCCTTAAGGTGTGTTCTATTCAGGATATTTAGGCATCTTCTGCTAAACTTCAGTAACCTCTTCCTGAAGTGTGTGAAACTGCTAACTGGGAGCTTATTTCGCACTATTTTAATTGGAAAAAATTATAACATGTTCTTATGAGACCAGGTCCAAAAAACAAAAACAAAAAACACCTAATTTCTTAAAATGTAACCAAAACATAGTAACTATCTATTATAAATAACTATCCAGTTAGGACATAGGACACTCTGTTTCCTAATCATCAAATAATAAAGTTAACAAAGAGTTGCCTTGCATGTAGTAAATATGGCTTATCTTACGGATAAGCAGCGTTCTAGACCCACGCACCCTCTGTTGGCATGACATGCTCTTCAGAACATCTTCAAGTGATTCTGACATTCTACTAATTCTACATAAAATATACCAATGCTTTATTCACATGGTGTTTTGTTTAAAATGTTAAACTGAGTTTTTCAGACATAAATGTAAATTAGTTAAAAAACACTGCATTTTGAAATATAAACATTCATTAACGTTTGGGTATCAATAAAAGGAGGTATTCTACTGAGAAAACAATAAAATTTTTGTATGACATACCTGTATATTTTATGATATATGTATATTTGAGAAATACTCAATCTATAAAATTTTAAACTTAAATTCTTATGCAAAAAGAGAGTTTGGGGCAGACTATTCAACACCTGAAACTTTGTAACTAGAGCTAACATATATAATTAACACTCAAAATAAAAGTACTAGTGCAATTAATATACTTATAATTCCTAGTAAAAATATACTATAGTAAATACAGATGTTGCAGGAAAAAGGGGGCAGGGGGGAAAGAGTGTAGTATATTGGAAGAAAGTACAATGAACTGCTAAATTATATAAACTTGAGCTTAAACAGTACACAAAGACTGAGGATAATCACCCAATAAGTACCTCTAAAATGAACCACATAGCCAAAAAGAAGATGGGTACATCCATCCTGCACTATAACCCCCATATGGCTTGCTGCCTTCAACTGTGGCAGCACATCCTACATTCACAGTAACGGTTGTTCTTATGGTGCACACTTGCTGGGGAAATGTGTATAATGCAACTTCCACATTAACATATTGACAATGTTCACTTATTTATCTGGTGTGTGAGCTAATTCATGGAATAGAAATATTCATGCAATAAAGCTGTAATAAAGTTATGAAAACAGCTTTATTATGGAAACAGAGTAGAAGCTATTAACACAATTCCATTTCACTAATTAATTTAAACTTGATTCAAATGACGTTACTGAAAACTTTAGAGGTAGTATCTAACTTCTATATATCCTAAACAAAAAGCTTCCTCTTTTAAAATACAATTACCTCTGGTAGGACTGTCAGTCATTCAAAAATCTGATTAACTTTTTTCTAATACCGATTTGCCTTCACTGGGAGAAAGAAAGCTTGAAGTTTATTAAAAAGAGAAAAAGTTTTAAAAGTATTGAAATACAGGATCATTTAGAAAGAAAAATAAGGCTTGGGTAAGACTACCATTGTTAGGTAATGATTCTTGGCAGTATGAGCGTGCCAAATGCCTGGGAGAAGGTGAGCAGGATACAGGAAGAATACATTAGAAAGAAAAATTGATTATTTCTCAGGTAACTATTAACATTTTGCCTTGCCTTCAGAAACAGAAAAAGACCACTGATCAGTCTGCTACTTTCACTGTATAGTGCTCTGGTTCCAAAATGCATGCCAGATATTTAGTCCAGCTATTCCAACATCTAAATGACTTTGTGGCCTAGTTTAGGTTATTAACTACTACTTAATACATTTTTCCTAGTGGAAAATATTTAAAATTTCTAATCAATCCATCAGCAAAGGAACTTTGGGGAATATAATCTGCTTCTAATTAAAGATCATCGGAACAGTAAAACAGAGTGAAATCATTAACTCAACTATTAGTTCTGTCCTCTATCACAATAAAAAATCGATTCCACCATACTATCATGTCCTAAGGTCAAAAATGAGACAAAAAAAGCAAACAGCAACACCTCACACATTTTGAAAATCTCCAATGTGGTTTTCAGTGCAAAATTCTCAATTAAAAATAGAACGTCTTACCTTTAAAATCATCTCGTGCTCCTTGTCCATCCTTCTTGTTCATTTTCATGTCAGAGCAGTTGTTAGGGGCACCTTTAGAGTTTTCAAGGTAAGCTGAGCTTGCTCCTTTCTTGGAGGGATGAGGATCACAGAGTTTTGCATTAATCTTATAAAGCTCAAGGGCTTTAATAGCTGCTGCATTGTTATCCATACGACGAAAAGTTGGACAGGAAGCACAAAACTCATTCGTGCAGGCCTCATTTCCACAGCCCTCAGTTAACTGGTGGTAGTAGCGTTCTATTAGATGTTTTGCAGCTGCTCGCTTCCTGTACCAAACATTCAAACAATAAGCACAGTGATTAGTAGAGCTCTCAGGTACAAAGCTCAACAGATCATCAACAAGGTAGAAGTTAGTCAAGCACTGAAGTAATAAACCCGCGTATTAAGATGAGGTATAGAAAATGGAGATACACTATTTACACAAAACTTTTAACTGGTGAAATATTTGATACTTATTTCCTAAGACATATGATAAAGAATATCAATGCTTGTCAAAAATCATTGTTTTAATAGAATATGCTTTCCTTTGGTTTGGGGCGCAGTGGAGGGGCGCTTGCTTGATGTGCTTCAATTGTTTAGCACCACAGCTGAAAATCACAAGTTTTATGACTAAGAGTTTTAGTAGTCTATCACTTTAAAAATTAACATTAAGAAAATGAGAGTCTATTTAAAGTATCAATCCAGCTTTCCTTTATATAATCACCATTTTGTTTCAGCAGCCTGTAAATACTTGACTTATAGTTAACATAGAACTTCTATGTGGAACAAAGAAGGACCCCCCCCCCATTATCTACTATACGGAAGGTTTAAAAAGAAATTTATAAATAAAATATCCAAACCTTGTGTTATATTACAAGAAAGTGGCTCAAAACATACAATTTTGAACCCAAAAGGTATCAGTAAACTTCCTCATTAATACCATGTCATAGGAACATGGAATATTTTAAATTCCTTTTAGAGCAAAATCTTATGTTACTCTTACTTTGTGAACATAAAGTATGCGAATTAATGTTCCATTATGGCTGTTCTAGCAGACCTAGCAAGGATATTGAAGAAGGGGTTATTTCATCAAGCAAGAAGCTGGACTAATTTCTATCTCTATGGCTTATTCCAACTCTTAAGATCTATACTTCTACTATTGATGGTATGAGATCACCATAACTTGAGTAGTCGACTGGATCCAAAAAAACATAATTCACAGCTATTCCTTTTGTTTCCAAATAGACACGCAGAAATAAAAACTACAAATAATCAAAACTATTTAAAAAATAATTTATCTAATTTAATTCTCAAAATGTTCCTACAATGATCTCACAAACATGTAGGACTAAATGGCAAATGGTATTAGAATTTACATCTTGTTAATCGTGAGATACATCTTGTTAATCATGAGATACATCTTGTTAATCATGAGAAACTGAACAACTAACAAGACAAATAAGAGACACACTAGTAAGTCCAATATTGTCTCAAAAGTAGGACTTTGTCTCTAAACTATCAAGGTAACTGACAAACAGTAATAACTCAAACACATTCAATTCATTCTGGTGCTGTTTTTCATATGTTCCATGCAAATTTACCACTCAATGCATGCGAACAGAGAAAAAAGAAAAACCCACAAAACGCACTTAGATATTTTATTATATGTAGCTATAAACAATTCCACTCCTGAAAATTAAAACATATTATTTCAGATACATCACTGTGCAAAATACTAAAGTGACAACATGTAAAGAAAGAGAAATATAGAATTTATAAGGTTTATACCATACACTGCTATTCTTCTTCCAAAACGCTATAGCCTTTCCTAGTGAGAATGTAAATAAGTATGTATTTCCTTTCTGGAAGAAAATTATGAACATTTATCAAAAGTCTTAAAAATGAATCAGAGGATGAACCATATGAATCAAAGATCCCATTTTGGGTGAAAATAATCGGACAATTTTGTTTCTACAAAACCTGGAAAAAAAACTGCCATGCCCAAAAACAGATTACTAAAATGAACTGATGACCATTCACACAATGGAATAAACAAAAATTATCAAGATCTGAATTTGGCATAGATCACTAATTGATCTTTTAATTGTAAAAGTCTGTTACAAAGTAGTGTCATATGAAGCCATTTTTATTTCAAAGTGTTAACAGTCTTTCCCTGAATAATGTGATTGAATCAGTTTTTTAAATTATTCTATCATTTTGCTTGCAATTTATTTTTTCTATAACATGCTACTTGTATAATGAAATTAATGAATATGAAAAGGGAAAACGTTAGTGGTTTCAAAACTTCATATACATGATTTGAATGGCCTCAAGGTTTACTAAATTGTCCGTATGAGTTTTTAAAGATTAGTTTCAAAAATCAAAATACCAAAACAGTCTAGCTATTTTTCTTATTGTCCTAAAAAAACAAACAAACCAAAAAATACCGGTCATACACATAATGCTTCTGAATGTAATACATAAAACAAGTGTGAACATTAAAAACAGAACAAGACTGAGAAATCAGAAAACCGGCTTTAAGAATCAAAGTAGCTGTACTATCTGAACAACTCTGGGCCTCAGTTTCCCATCTTTAAGACTCCTTTCAGTTCTAAATCTTTTAATAGGGAGGTGAGCAAGGAACTATAATTTGTTGAATGCCTGGTAACATACTGGACACACTGCAAGGGACTTTCACATAGATTATCTCATCTGAATCCCATGACTTTGAGGATGATCTTCAGGCCACAGCCAAAAAAGGAGACAGAACTGAAAGAGTCAAATCACGTATCCAAGGTCGCACAAAGGAAAGTGCAGAACTAGGATGAGAGCAGGAGTCCAGAGGTCTTCCGGCTTCAGAGTGTAAGTCGTTTCTACTATATTGTCTTACAGGTGATACATTTCAAAATAATTCTTAACAATAGTAGTACTAAAAACTTTTATGGAAAAAAAATCCCATAAATAATGTGTAATTGAAAAAAGTAAAATGCCTTCTGAAAAATCATAATTTGAATCTCAAATTTATGCATATCTGGTATCACACAAGAACACAGTTTCTTGAAGAACAGGTAGCACTATATTCTGTAAATCTAATATATTTATAATTTGTTGAAGACCTACGTGCTAGGCTTACAGATGTTCTTGCTTTAGACGACAATAAACCCTAGAAGTTAAAAGTTCACACTCTGAGGCTAGATTGCCCAAGTTCACATGCTGGCTCTGCCACTTAATAACTATGTCACCTTGAATGAGTTTACTTAACTTCCTGTGTCTCAGTTTCCTCATCTTAAAAATGATGGCATACAGAAGAATTATTATGGCTGTGAGAGAATTAAATGAGTCAATATATAAAAAGTGCTTAGAACACTGCATGGCACATAGTAAGCACCATTAACTTATGGCACATAGTTAGCCACCATTATTGTTACAATTTTTATTAGCATCCTCACAAGTCTATGATTAGCTATATTAACCTGCATTCTGCTGATGCTCAGAGCTGTTACCTAACAAGTTGCATATCTAGTAAGAGATCTGAACCCAGGTTTGACTCAAAACTTGGGCTTTTAATACCACTAAGGGTAGATTTAATATAAAAGTAGGCCCCTCTATTTGACCTGCTTTGCTGCCCCAAGACTTAGAAACGGCAGCTAGACTGATGAAACAGGACTGAAAGGAGGCCAAGACAGAACCTCCATGTTATTAGTGGAATCAACCACACCAAGTATTTTTCTTCTTTCCTCACTTCAGTGACACCTTGAATTACCTGTATATAATTCTGTATCCCCATCTAATTTAGAGCACATAAAAAAGCTCTACATTGGGAATATGTACACTAATAATGACATTTTGGTAAATAACCTGTACAAGGTTAATCCCTATACATCAAGTTGCCAAATCATAGCTTATGGACCAAATCTAGCATGCCACCTATTTTTTTATAGCTTGTTTGGTTTTTAAATTTTAAATGGTTGAAAAAGTCAGTAAAAGAATAACATTTTGTGACATGTAAAAATTACACGAAATTCAAATTTTAGCATCCACAAAATCTTACTAGAACACAGCCAAGCTCATTCATTTACATATTGTCTACTGCTGTTTCCACATTACAACAGCAGAGTTGAGTAGTTTTAACAGAGACTGTACAGCCTGCAGAGCCTAAAATAAATACCACCTGGCCTTAACAGAAAAAATTTCCCAACTCTTAATTTAGAGACTGGGCTTTCTGCCCTCCAGTGACACTTCCATCCAATCACATGGCCTCCTACTCTTTCTTTTCCCTCAGCAAATAATTTTATGCAGTAAAATGTATAACTCCCTCAAGTATGATTTCAAAAAACAAAGGAGAGAGGGAAAAAGAAAGATAAAGAAGAGATGAGGAGAGAAAAAGAAGAAGAAAGTGAAATTAAAAAAAGGAAAGAAATGAAGAGACATCTTTTCCCAATGGGGTCCCCTTTAGTGACACCTTATCTGTCATTCAAAACTACCCCAAGAGGGGCTATGGCTAACTTTCTATAATTTCCTCACATCTCACTGCCTTTTCTTCTATGTAAAAAACAAACCAAGTATTATACTTTATAATATACTGATTTTTTATAAAGGGATTTTTTCTTATCAAGTGAAGTGACATTTAGTGATAGCGCTCTCAACGCTCTTGAGATTACTTACACATTGAAAACAGGTAATACTTTCCACTGACTTCTTTTACTTCTATGACTGAATCAGTGAGACAGTCCTACAAATAAATGTTCTGTGGAATAATAATATAGAGAGCCAGAGTTACTCTAGAAAACTTGGCGGAAATCTTTTAAAAATGGTTTCACCTTAGGGGGAAGTGTGCTGATGTCAGCAATTAACTTTGAAATGTATGGGGTAGGGGAAGATGGACTGATAAATAGAAGGGTGGACATATGATAAAGCACTGTAAATATTAAAGGTAGAATGTAGATGACAGGCATATGGCATCAACTGTGCAATTCTTTCAATTTACCTGCATGTTTGGAAGTTTTCAAAGTAAAACACTAGGGGAAAATACTGTTGCCGTATAGACAGCAGATCAAATGGCAGAGGAAATGGTTTCAGCCATCAGGGGAGGAAAAGGAAAACCAATGTCAACATCATCAATGGTACTAATACCACATTTGCCGACTCTGTTTTTGGAACAGTCCGGTACTTAACAAAAACAAACAAACAAAACCCTATAATAATAATGATAAATACAAGAGTTAAACTCTGACCACATTATACACAGAAACTTAATTTGCCTGTCAAGGAAACAAATACTAGGAAA